TGCTGAGGAATCGAACCCAGGGCCTCAGGCATGCAAGGCAAGTGCTCTACCACTACCACCTTCCCAGCCCTTTTTTTTTTCTTTTCCTCCCTTCCTTCCTTCCTCTTTCCTTTCTTTTGCAGTAGTAGGATTTGAACTCAAGACCCCCTGCTTGCTAGAACAATGCCCTTCCCCTTGAGCCTTAGACTTCTTTTGAGACTTGGTCTAGTTTGCTCTTGTTCTTGTGGCTCAAGCAATTCTTCAACCCAGGCATCATGCTCAGCTTTTCTTGGTATGTTTTCAACATGGCATCTATGTTTAAAATTTGGATTTTTGGCTTCTGTCCACCCCCATCCTGGGCCACCTTTGAGTCCAGCACACAGCCCACCCCGCCCTCCCTCATCAGCCACCGGGCTTGGGGACAGAAAGGAGCTAGACACTGGTTCTGACCCCATTAGCTACACATCCCATACTTTCAGTCTTAAAAGTCTTAGGAAGGAGCTGGGAAGTGACTCAGTGGTAGAGTGCTGGCCTAGCAAGCATGAAGCCCTGGGTTTGATTCCTTAGTACCACACACAGAAAAAACCAGAAGTAGTGCTGTAATCCTGGCTCAAGTGGTAGAGAGTGAGCCTTGAGCAAAAGAAGCTCAGTCAGGGACAGTGCCCAGGCCCTGAGTTCAAGTCCCAGGACTGGCAAAAAAAAAGGAAGGGTTAATTCCACCTCTGGCCCAGGAGACTGTGTCAGTCCTGGCCAATCAGAACACCCTGCTTTTCCTGGGCAACCTGACTGGCTCCTGGGGAGGCACATGCCCACCCTGGGCCGGTGAGAGGCAATCTTGCGAGGCTGGCTGCAGCCGCAGCCCGCGGGTGGGGAGTGCCCCACTGTCCCATCAACTCAGGAAAAGCAGACCCGGAATCCCGGGTCCTGCCAAACCCCAGTGTGAACCGGCCAGGCACTTTCACAGCTCTAGGAGTTGACGGCCTTTAGTTCTCAATTGTGTGTGGTGGGGGTCGGGGGGCAAACTTCTAATACCTCTTTCTTTACCCATCCTCAGACATGGCGTCAAGTTAAATTTTGAGGATGGGGTTATAGCCATTTTTTGGGGGGGGTTGTGGGGCCTGAACTCAAAGCTAGCATTCTACCACCTGAGCCACATCGCCACTTCCAGCTTTTTCTGTTCATGTGGTGCTGAGGAATCGAACCCAGGGCCTGATGCATGCAAGGCAAGCGCTCTACCCCTGAGCCACCTTCCTAGTCCCATGGGTTATAGCCATTTTTAAACAAATGCCTTACTGAGGCTCTTCTTCCGTGCAGGCCAGACTCCCCCCCCCCCCCGGATGGACACGGGTCCCAGTGCGTGTGGCACTCTACCAACAGAGCCATCTCAGTCCTGTGTCACCCCTGAGCCCCAGGAAGGACCTTTTAACGACTTGTTCAGAAGATAAGCACGTTTCTTCTCGTTCCGAGGTGCCCAGTGCTTCCCACCTCGGCAGCAGCCTGGCTCCCAGCTTCCCTTCCTCCCCAGGACCTCTCAGGGGGACGTCCCAGGAGGCCCCTCTTCCCAGGCCTCCTGCAGGCCCCAGGAGCCTGCTTCATTTTCACACATCATCAGGGGAAGTTCCATGTGCATTTATTCACATTTATTGTCTCCCCTCGCCCAGCCCAGCGACTCCGGGCAGGGCTTTAGTTCACTGTAGTCCAGTGTCAAGACCAGAGTCTGACACACCCACCGGCCAGCGACATGAAGGAACGCTCCAGAATGGACCAGCCTTTATCTGTCATGGTCCCCTGAACGGTCCCCCACCCCCACCCCAAGCTGGGGGTCCCCTTGGAAAGGTGACAGTAGTTTTCTACCCGGGCTAACAGCCCCACCTGGAGGCCAGGCGGGGGGAGGGGGGGGCTGGGGAGGGGGCGGAGCTCATCCTGACCTCTTGGCCCCGCCCCAGCCAGCCAGGAAACACCTTGAGGCTGCCAGGGTGAAGGAGACTCTTGCTGCTTTGTTATAAATATATTATGTACATCCAAAACAGGACATTAAAATAGTATTCCGTGTTACAGAAAAGATATTAAGGCGTTCTATTATACATTAACAAGCAAGCACCTTTAAAAAAACCCCAAAATAAAAAAGCCCCCGCTTCCTTCCAACACACCTTGTAAGGAGACAGGATGTCCTTTCCCAGGTGACCAGCCCTTCATTGGCTGTGACCGCAGAGCCAGCTGGATGGGGCGGGCAGAGGGAGAGGGTGCCCAGACGTGACGGGGGTCTTGGCCTCTGCTGCTGGCTGCCCTCGGCCCCTCTGGCGGGCGCCATCTTGGGTGACCACTGGCGGCAAAGGCTGTCCACCTGCAGGGGCGCCCAAGGGTCCGGGTTTCCCTGGGCCACTGGGGCCAGGAGGGCCATGTCAGTGGCCTCATTCAGCCCTGGGGCAGGGCAGCGGGCGTGGGGGCGGGGCTCCCTTTTTCTGCAGTGCTGGGCTTTGGGACAGCAGCTCAGGCGCTTGGGGAGGGGCCCAGGAAACAAAAGGAAGAAGAACTGAAGTCAGTGGCTCAAGTATTGTCACGGGCGGGCGGGGTCCCCTGGGCGAGGCAGGGATTTGGCAGATGGCTTCCGTTCAAGGCTGGGGCGGCTGGTCCCCGCAGTGGGCTCCCGAAGTCACTTGATCTTCTGGGCCCACTTCATGTCGTCCGCCCGCGGCTTCTCGCCTGTGAGGCCCTGGATGAGACCCTCCAGGCGCCGCCAGAAGCCCACCTTCTCCAGCGGGTAGTTCAGCCAGCCTGCGGAGACAGACGACAGACATGGCCCTTCAACTGCTGGCAGGAGTCCCTCCCCCCTCAGGCCTTATTTAAAAGGCAAGGACCGCCCCCCATCTCTCCACCGCCCTCCCCTCCATGCGTCCACTCACTGCAGACGGGGACCCTGCCTCCCCCGGCTGGAGGCCAAGCTCAGGCCACACTAAGTGCGGGTAGGTGCCAGGCCCCGCGGGGTGGGGGCGGGGCGGCCCCACCTGTGGTGATGCAGAAGTAGGTCTCATGGGGCGACACGTGGTGGACGCGGTGGTGCCGGCGGGGCAGGATGATGTGCCAGTCCTGCAGCGCCTCCACCCAGCGCGGCAGCCCGAAGTACGTGTGCGACCACTTGTGGATCTGGTTGGTGAAGGTGCCGAAGAGGATCAGGCAGAAGACAAAGCACTCCCAGGGGTACAGCGGCTCCAGGGCTCCTGCGGGGATGCGCATGGCCGTCACACACACGGGGTCCCGCCCTCGGGCAGCTCCCTGGGCCTCAGGCCTTGGGTTCTGGGGCAGAGGCTGGCGGTGGCCTGGGAGTGGCTGACGGAGGGGGGGGCCTCCACCTTCCTGCAAGCACCCCTGGGCAGCAGCCAATGCTCAGGGGCGAGGCCCAGGACCAGGCAGGCAGGCTGGGATGCGGGTGTCACCGGAGGAGAGGGGGTACAGCAGCTTGGTGTTGGCATGGGGGGGGGCAGGTTGGGACCTGGAGCCCAGTGGCTATCGCTGACTGCCAGGAGAGGCTGGGAACAGGGGCCATCTTGTCCAACACCACAAGGGGTTGAACTCTGGGCCTCGTAAAGGGCTCCACTGCTTGAGCCACACTCCCAGCCTTGGACAGTATCTTGGCCTTGGGCTGAGATCCTCCGCTTCTTTGCCTCCTCCACACCCAGGACAAGCGTGCGCCACCACACCTGGCCCAGAACCATTCTGGCGTCACTGGACAGTCCTGGAAACGCACACCCAGCCCGAAGGTCCTGGCCTCACCTGGGCTCAGGGTGCGGAACTTGTAGGCCATGTTCAGCAGCGGCAGCAGGGTCACCAGGCAGTTGTCACCGTTGGTCTCGATGAAGTCATGCCTTGTGATGGCTGTGGGGTCGATGTGGTGTTCCCGGAAGGGCCGGATAAAAGCCTGGGCGGTACAGGGGCCACCGTGGCCATCAGCCCATGGCCCGTGCCTTCCAGACCCAATCTGCCCTGCTTGGTCACCTCCTGGGCCTGGAACGCCCGCCCTGACCCAGCCCTGGAGCCCCAGACTCCTCCACGAGGTACCCCAAGCCCTACGACACGGTGCGAGGCGCGTGGAAATGATCCGACAAAGGTGTGGAGGCCACCTGCTTCCATGCACCCCCGGACTAAGTGGCCGCTTGCAGTAGGAGACATTGAGCACTGTCACCTTCCACGCCTGCCTTGGGTTAAAATCCTCCTTTTCTCTTAGCACCACTGTTGGGCGGGCTGACCCGTCCCCACAGTGGGTATGTGACCAAGCCTGGCCAATCAGATTCCAAGTCCCTCCAGCCATTCAAGATGGCCACGTGACCGAGACTGGCCAATCAGAACCCAAGTCCTTCCAGCCATCACCAGCTTCAAGACGGCCATGTGACAGGGGCTGGGCCCTGGGACTCTGGCTGGGACCTTGGACTGGAGGTGGGCAGGAAGGCGGGAGGCTGTCCTATGACCCCAGCTACCCTGCCGTCAGCTCTAACCTGAGAGCTCAGCTCACATTAGATTTTCTGACAGGTACAAGATAAATCCACTTTAGACAAAGCAAGACAATGGATAGTGCCTTTGATGCCAGCCTGGCCCACACAGTGAGACCCCCCCAAAAAAAACGAAACCAAAAACCCAAAAGCTCTGCACAATCAAGTCTCCCCACTGTGCCTCAGCCAGGCCAGGAGAGCTGCTCTGGGAGGGAGCCTGCTCTGCTCTGCTCTGTCTGACTGGGAGGGAGCCTGCTCTGCTCTGACTGGGAGGGAGCCTGCTCTGCTCTGACTGGGAGGGAGCCTGCTCTGCTCTGCTCTGGGAGGGAGCCTGCTCTGCTCTGCTCTGCCTGGGAGGCCCCTGACCCCCGGACAGGGTGAGGCTCCAGGGAAGGGCACCCACCCAAGGCCGCACGGGCCGCATACGCACCTTCCCCACAACGGGCAGCTCCACGGAGCCCCATGTGTCGGCCCCCCAGTGCACCAGGCCAGACAGGAAGTCAGCAACAAGCGCGCCGGCAACTGTGAGCGAGAGGAGGGTGAGTGGAGGCCCGCGCTTGCTCACCCAACCCGCCAGTCCATTCACTCCTTCTTGGGGCGGGGGCTCCTTTCTAGTTTTCTTCCCTGGAGAAAGGGGTTCACCTAACTTTCTTGGCCCTGAGCTGCCCCAGGGGTGGGGCACCCTCCCTGCTGGGGGGGCACTGGAGAGACAAGCGGGGGGGGGGGAACCACACAGCCCTCCCCGGCTTCCTCCTGCCTTGCTTCCTCCTCTGCTCTCTGCACAGAAGCAGAAGCGGAGCCCTTGGAGACCCTGGTCCCAGCGGCCGCCGCAGGGCTGGCACCGTGGGCGAGGCTGGCAGGCGCCACCCCTCTGGGGTGATGTGGGGGCCTGGAGACCCACACCTGACACAGCGGGGTGTCATCCTGTACCACAGGGAGGGCACGGGGGGAGGGGCAGCACCTCACTATCGCCCCGCCCACTGCAGCCTTCCTGCACCTGCCCCTTCCACACCTCCCCCCCAAGACCTGGAACATTCTTGCCCTGTAGTACAGCTCCCCTCCTTCACACCTGAGGTCTGCGCTTGCACACTCTCCAGTCACCATAGCCTCCCAGGGCCAGGACTCAGCACGACACCCTGAATCCAAGAAGCCAGCCACACAGCAGGCCCGCAGCACAGCCGGCTCAGCCATGGGGTCCCTGTGTTCCCTGGGTCCCAGGGCAGAGGACCAGAGGACCACGCAAGCTGGTGGCTTTGGGCCAGCCCCTCCCACTTCCTCTGACTCTGTTTCCTTTGTGAATTGCGTGTCTGCAGCCCCTGGGTGACAACCAAGCCCAGGGCACCTTCCCGGGGACAGGAGCTGCAGAGCACTGTGGCACAAGTCACGCAGCCACAGAGGGAGGACTCCAGCGGAGGTGAGCACAGGAGGGGCTGGAGGGCCCGCGGAGGGTGGGGCGTGGCCGGAGACCGGCCCTGCAGAAGGCGGGTGGGCTGGAGTCAGGCAGCCTGCTGCTTGGCAGGGATGGGTGTGGAGTGGGGGGAGAGGACAAAGAAGGGCTTTTGTGCGGTCGCTGGCAGGCAGCCTCTCCCTGGCACAGCCTCCCCAGCAGCCCCACGCCTCGGATTTCCTTTCTCAGCTCCTAGGACTAGGCAAGGCCACTTCTGTCTGTCTGTCTGTGGCCACAGCTCTGGTGCCAGCATCTTGGATGTCTCACCTCCTCTGATCTCTGCACTGCGGTGAGCAGACCTAGGAGGGTCTCTGATGATGGCTTGACATTCCTGGAGGCTGACCCCCACACTGCGCGCACGCTTGGTGTGTGCACATGGGTGCCTCAAGTGAACTCGGCACACACCTGGGCCCACAGGCAATCAAGGGCAATGACCCACAGCACTGCTGACCCCGCTCCTGCCTGGGCCTGGGACCTCTGCCCCCCTCCCCAGGCCCGTCCTGATCACCAGAAAAACACTGGCAAAACAAGAGCTGCCCCAGCAGCGCTTAGCCGGCCACAAAACTGTCAGGGCCACGAGGAAATGGGAGGAGTCTGATGGCTGGGTGTGGCGTTGGCCATGCAGGTAGAGGCTGTGGGAGAAGATGGAGTGTGCGAGGCCTGGGTTCCACCCCCAGCACACACCCACCCGCGTGCGCACACACACCCACATACACACACGCACATGCACACACTAGATCACAGTTCAGAGTCAAATCTTCAAGTGACAACTCCACATAATGTGGCCCCTTGCTGGGATGTTGGTGGCTCACACCTGTCATCCTAGCTACTCAGGAGGCTGAGATCTGAGGATTGCGGTTCAAAGCCAGCCCGGGCAGGAAAGCCAATGACACTCATCTCCAATAACCCACTCAGAAAACCAGAAGTGGTGCTGTGGCTCAAGTGGTAGAGCGCTTGCTAGAGCTAAAGAGCTGAGGGACAGTGCCCAGGGCCAGTGTTCAAGCCCCATGACCAGGGAAAAAAAAATGTGGCCCCTTTCCTGGGACAGGAAAGGGAAACAGAAATGGCTGGAATACAGCCTGTACACTGTACATCAGTTGCGCCAAATGTCCGATGCTAATGCAAGATGGCAAAGTCGGACGGTGTTTTTCTGGGTGTGTGGGGACAGTGCATCCATCTTCCTGTGTATCTCAACCTCCTAAAAACTAGAGGTTGCTAAGTAAGCAAGCACCGTCTCTCTTTTCCATCCCAACTGCTTGGCTTTCCTGAGGCTGCTCTGTGTGCATGCGTGGGGTATGGGGCTCCTGCGGTCACGGGGAGCTGGGCCAGTGGGGCTGCCAGGGCCAGAGCAGGGCCGCGCTGTGGTCAGAGGCCAGGCTCAGGCAGGGATGTGGGAAACGGCCCACGGGCCTCTCCGCAGGGTTCACGAGCGCTGGGTGGGCAGTGGGTGGCAGCTTCGGGGATGAGGTGCCCTGGCCTCGGCATCTGTCCAGTGGGTGCCCAGGCCCTCCTCGCTGCCCCACAGCACTGGCAGTGAGGCCACCGCCCCGGGCCCCGCACAGCTGTTCCTGGAGCACAGCTCTGGGCTGCTGGCCTACCAGGCTTTCTTTCACAGGGCAGGTGCACAGCCTCTTTGTCCCCTGTGCACAGAGACTGGACGGGTAGGCAGGGGTCCCTCCAGGCCCCCACCTCCAAGGCCTGGTGTGGAGGACACAGGGCAGACTGGGGGGGGCTGTGCCAGGGTCACTGGTAATTGTCACAAACCCAGAGGCCCCTGTTGCCCATGATGCTCCCCCAACTCAGCGCATGGACACGCGCCAGCCTCGGGCCTTTGCGGTTCCTGCTGTGTTTCCGCAGGGCCACTGTACTTACACTCCAGGCTTGGCATCGCTGTGGCTGGCTAACCTACTAGACACCTTTCGCGTTCCAGGTCCTTTGATTTCCCGTGCCAGCCTTGGGCGTGGAGCCCGGGGGCCAGGGCGGGGCTGGCAGTGCTGGCATGCACCCTTATCATCTCCCTGAGGCTGACGAGCAGCCCGGGGTGCTGCTCCTATCCATTAGGGCCTGTGCAAACAGCACTATCTGCAGACTGCTCCCTTATCAGCCAGAGGTGGAGGTGTGGAAGCGGAGCCCTAGGACAGCTTCTCCAGCCACCAGGGTGTGGGAGGCGCTGAAGGAGGGGTGACCTGCCTGGGACCCCTCACCCCCCCCACCCTGCCCACTCTTTGTTCCATGCGTGCACTGGGGGCTGTCTGGCCCAGCTGGGGGTCTGTGGGGTGAGAATGGACTAACCAGGTGCGGCCCAGGTGAGGCCTGACAGGCAGGTCACAAGGCTTTGTAAAGTATCCATGCCCAGCAGGGGCTTGGTGCTGGCTAAGCTGCCAGCAGCGGGAGGCGCTGGCCCTGTGGTGACCATGTCTCTTCCAGCCTCTTGTGGTCCCAGGGCCAGGAGGCAGGAGTGTGAACCTCACGCGTACCCCGCCTCCTGCCTGCCAGGCACCCCCTGGACCAGGCCCCAAGGCTCAGAGCACCTCTGTCCAGCCCTGAGGCTGAGCAGAGGGCAGGCAGGGATCCTGGGGCCTTCACACATTCACCAAGCACACAGCACCTGCTGTGTGCCAGGCAGTACTAGTGTTTGAACTCAAGAGTCCCTGCTTGCTTGCTTGCTTGTTCAACTAGTTCTCTACCAGCTGAACCATAGCCCCTGCTTGGCTTGTTGCGGGCTACTTTGGGAGATGGAGTCTAGTGGACCTCTGTACCCTGTCTGGATCCTCCAGTTTGGTCTCCTGAATAGCTGGGATTACAGAGACATGAGTTACTGTTGCCTTGATTTTTGAGGAGCAATCAGGGAGAGCCTCTCTGGCACAGGGAACAGCACAGGCCACGGCCCTGGGGTAGGAGTGAGTCCTCAGGACAGTGGCCAGTGCAGTGTACACAGAGCGCCTGTCTGGGCCGTGTGTGTGGATGCTGGGGGCAAGCTGGGAGCAGGGAGCGCATTGGGTGGGGGGAAGCATTTCGAATTGCACACACCCACAGGCAGGCGGGCGCCTGGGGGCCCCAGTACTCACCGATGCCCACGATGACCAGGGGCATGTGCTCCCAGCGGGCCAGCAACAGGAGGTGGACCAAGTTGTGGGCAATGAGGCCGAAGCACAGGATCACGCAGCACCACTCCTGGAACCGCTTGCCTGTGGGGAGAGCGGGGGAGGGCCCCGAGAGCCTGAGAGCACTGCACCCAAGCCCCTCCCTGACAGCAGGCCACACCCCCACCCTCAGCACACCACCAACCACCACACGCACCAGCCCTCCCTGACAGCAGGCCACACCCCCAGAGGCTGGGCCTCAGTGCAGGCCTCCTGGGCCTTGAAGCCCTTGAGGCCCTTGGGAACGGTGAAGCCTCTTGCACACCTGCTTCCCCCCCTGCAGGTGACTCCCAGAGACTGCCTGCCTAAGCTGCAGACCATAAGCTGGGAGGTCCAGGGGAGCCAGGGCCTCTGGGAGCCGCCATCACCTCGAGGTGGCTGCAGGGAGGGAGCAGGTGCTGGATGGAGGGGGGACTTTAACACCGCCGTGTTTGGACAGTGCACTGTTCTGTCCACTCCCTGAGGTGACCTTAGCGTCTGTCACCTGGCCCTGGCATCGCTGTAGCCAGAAGGAGCTGGAGGCACAGCGCAGCAGCTCCGGTGTGGCTTCCCTCTGAACACACCACAGCAACACTCTTCCTTGCACTACTAATGTCTCAGTGCTAGAACTTTTTCACTGGAGTCTATTGTTCTACTACTTTAGCCACAGTTCCACTTTCAGCTTTTTTGGTCATTAACTGGACAGAAGAGTCTTGCAGACCTTCCTGCCAGGGCTGGTTTTAACTTCAGTCCTTAGATCTCAGCCACCTGAGTCGCAAGGATTACCGGCGTGAGTCACTAGCGCTCAGTTACTAGTGACAAGGTGTTTTGTTTTTTGCAGGTCCTAAGACTTGAACTCAGGGCTTGGGTGCTGTCCTTGGGCCTCTTTGTGCTCCAGGTTAACACTCTACCACTTGAGCCACCATTCTACCTCCAAATTTTTTTGAGTAGTTTTTTTGAGATAAGAGTCTCACGGCCTTTCCTGCCGGGGCTGGCTTTGAACCACGATCCTCAGATCTCAGCCTCCTGAGGCATGAGCCACCACGTGTGTGAGCAGAGCCCGAGCTACTTTCCAGGTGAGGCCTCAGCGGCAGCCATGCCGTCACTGCGTGTGACATCACGAAGCCAGGCTCCGCCCTCCTGAAGCCAAGTAGAGATGGAGGAAGTAGCCCAAGGCCGTCAAATCTGAGGGCCGGCTCCTCAAGCGCCCTAGTGCCCACTTCTAGTCTATTCCTAAGCAGGGCCCTGGCACTGAGCTGGTGCTTAATAAATGCTGAAGGCCGGGGCACATTCCTGAGCAGGGTCTGAAGGGCGGGGGCCAGGCTGTGATGGGGGCCCCGCCCCGGTGCACCCTGGGAAGGAAGTGTCAGCACACAGCCGCCTCTTGTCCCCGTGGTGCAGGGGACAGCGGAGGTCACCTGCAGGGAACGGGTCCCAGGGTTCCCCGCTCCTGCTTCTCAGCCAGCCTCCTGCTCCAGCGTGGGGTCATGGAGGTCACGGTAGCAGCCCTCCCATTTCCAGTTCCGGTCTGTGGGACAGGACCTGGCTCAGAAGCAGGAAGCCCCGGGGGAAGCCCAGCAGGAAATGAAGGGCAGGGGCTCCCTTGCACAGCCCGCCCGGCTGCCTGAAGGCTGATGTGGGCAGGTCAATGACAGCGACACCCGTGGGCCCACCTGCCAGCCGCTTCTGCTCTCCGTGGGCCTTTTGTTTGTTTTTAAGTGCTAAGTGAAGTCGCCTAAGTTCCTGGATCTTGCTTCCTGTGAGACACAGGGCGCGGGCACCCCAGGGCGGCCCAGCCCCTCCCCCTCCCTCCCAGGTGCCCATGGCCTGTGGCGCTGGACAGCTGCATTTCAAGCCCCAGTGAGCGCGTTTACTCAAGGAAGGGGCAGGAGGACTCTTCTAGATGAGAAAACCAAGGCTCGGCCGGGCTCAGGGGCCAGGCTCCGTGCTGGCCTGCTGCAGGCCTGCGCCGCTCCACGCCCTGCTTCACTTTGACTCTGGGGCCTCTGCAGTCTGGGCTCCTGGGCCTGGAACCTCAGTTGCTGCAAAGCCCGGACGGTGCCCAGCCGCCTTGGCCGGCGCCGGCGCTGCCCTGCGCTGCCCCGCGCTGCGGGCGGGTTGTCCTCCCAGCCTGGCGGGCCTGCGCGCGGGGGGCCTAAGCAGCGTCACTGGCCCTCCGGTGGCGGCCCTGGACCCTCACCCACCAGCTCCTTCCTGACAAGCATGGTGACCAGCTGAGTCATAGCAGTGACCTCTGGCTGGCTGAGGGGGGTACACCTTGTCCCCCACAACAAAGGCTTGGTGTCATCTCCCTCCTTCTCTGTGCCTGGGCAGAGACACGCCTCGAAAGCAGGAGGGACAGGTGCGGTGGACTGGGTTAAGATGAGAAGTGGACGAGAGAGATGGAGAAGAGAGGCAGCCGCAGGGCAAGGGCTCTGCCCTGCGCGGTGCGGACAGGGGCTCAGGCCCCCAGGGATGAACCCCGGGCTCCAGCTCGGCTCCGCCCTGCGTCCTGATCTTCATGCCAAGGTGGGCGTGGGGGGAATCAGGACTGCTGGACCCAGGATGCTGCACCCATAGACCTCACTCCCCCTGGGGCTGGGGTACCTGTGTGGCACACACCAGGGGCTGTGGCGGGCCCTGGGGGTCCCCAGGCCCTGGAAAGGAAAGCCAAGCCCCGGGTGGAACGCTGCCTACGCCCTTCTGTGGAGCTCTAGCCTGGCGGGGCAGGCCTCACACCCTGGCCAAATCTGCCAGGCCATGTGCCAGTGTGCAGAGAGGTCCCTCCGTCCCCGGGGTGGCCGCTCTGGGTCCTCCACCACCAGGCCACAGCCCCCCACCCCCCCACCCCCCAGCAGACCGCAACCGCCACACCCCAGCGAAGAGCGGGAGCCCTGGAGCCGACCCTGTGGAACCACATCTCACAGGCCGACTCCACCCAGGCAGACGGGTGCTCCTACCAGGCCTGAGCAGCGGCGGGGGCAAAGCAGCCTGACGACCACCGAGGTGGAGCCGAAAATGGGGGGTGTGCAGGGCTCACAGCTCCCTCCTCTGCAAGTGTTAATACAGGTGCACTTTACTCACTCTGAGGTGATGTAACTGCCCGCACAGTTAGTGCCCAATAAATGCCAGTTATAGTCATTGTTCTTGCTGTGACTACCAACTGTCACGTACCCAACACCTTTCCACCTCTGGACCCAGGAAGGACAGGAGTCCACTCCCGGGGCCAGGAGCCTCTCTACTAGGTGGCTGAAAATGTGCCAGGCAGCGCCCACCTCAGTGCCTTTGCACTTGCTGTTTCTCTGGTCTGCACCAACCCTTCCTCAAATATATCCAAGGTTCCTCCTTCCCAGCCCTTCCTCCTTCAGGTCTGCATTCAAACATCACCTGCCTAGTGTGGCTGCAACTGCCTGCTCTGTCCCCCTTCTTCCGCCCCCCAACCCCATTTGCCCTTCCTACTTTGTATTTGGCTATCATTAAGGAGGACAAGGGGGGGCGGGGATTCACTGCCCATCTCCCTATGAAATGCCAACCCCAGTTCTGTCCTGTTTGCTGTTAGTTTTGTCTTGTTAGATGTTACCTTAATGTACATTGGACCTCGTCTTTCATTTTACAGGTCAGGTCCAGAGAGAAGTCAGGTACTTCTCCAAGGCCACACAGAGAGTGAGTGGACACAATCAGCTAGAGAAGCCCATGAAAAGGAACCTGGAGGAACCAGTCTGGCCAGTCTCAGACTCCCTGTCCACTCGGCGGGGAGGGTGGGCTGTGATTGTGAGAGAGGACAGACATGCAGTGGGGCGGGTGGGGTGTCTGGATGATCTGCGCTGCCTGACAGCAGGCAGGGTGGGCAGAGAGGCTGGCAAAGGCGGCTTCGAACCCTTGCTTCAGCTGCAGCCCAGAGTGCAGGACTCACTCCCAATTAACACAGGGCAGGGGGGGGGGAGAACTGCAGGCATCCTCTGTGGTTGGCCAGGCCTGGGCGCCGCGGGGGCCACATTTCCTTTTCCTAAGGACTCCAGAGTCCTTAGGAAACAGCTGGGGAAGAAAAGGGGCCTGACCCAGGTCACCCCCACTCTCTAAAGACTCGAGGTTTTTACCTGGAAAGGCTGAGTGTTTGGGGTGTGGACCAGATACCCCAGCAGGTCTGGAAAAATATAGCTTGGGGCTGCCGGGCCGGGCCAGTCTCTGGTGACCTGGGTCCAAACTCCTAAGTGGCCCAAGGTCATCCAGCCGGGATGAAGAGGCTACATGGAGCCCAGGCTGGTGGGAGCAGAGGGGGAAGGGGTAAGCAGCCTGGGGGTGAGGGGGGTCCCCAAGGCATGGGCTGCCAGACAGAAGAAAAGCTGTTCGAACGCTGGACAAAGCTGGCGGTGAGGCCACACCGGTAGCTCCGGACACCCGACTCGGGGTGGTCACAGGCGCTTGTTCCAGGCTGGGGAGCGCTCGGGGAGAGGTTCCCGGGGACCCGGGCGCCCAGCGCAGGGCTGCAGACCGGAGCTGGCTGCTGGGGGGGGGGCATCGGGAGGGAACGGAGCCCAGCTGCCGACCTGGCCCGGCGGTACGGGGTCCGGGAACACGGGGGTGCTCCGTCCTCACGGAGAGTACCGTCCGGACCAACCGAGGCGCGGGCGGGGCGCGGGGCCTTCGGGGGTCTGGAAGGAGGAGGAGGGGAGGAGATCGAGGTCTTCCCCGGACTAACTAGGGTGGGATGCGGGGGGCGCTCGGCCCGGTCTGCAGCCACGCGCCCCCAAACCAGGGCCGCGGCGTGCCCGG